TAATAATAATAATAATAATAATAATAATAATAATAATAATAATAATAATAATAATAATAATAATAATAATAATAATAATAATAATAATAATAATAATAATAATAATAATAATAATAATAATAATAATAATAATAATAATAATAATAATAATAATAATAATAATAATAATAATAATAATAATAATAATAATAATAATAATAATAATAATAATAATAATAATAATAATAATAATAATAATAATAATAATAATAATAATAATAATAATAATAATAATAATAATAATAATAATAATAATAATAATAATAATAATAATAATAATAATAATAATAATAATAATAATAATAATAATAATAATAATAATAATAATAATAATAATAATAATAATAATAATAATAATAATAATAATAATAATAATAATAATAATAATAATAATAATAATAATAATAATAATAATAATAATAATAATAATAATAATAATAATAATAATAATAATAATAATAATAATAATAATAATAATAATAATAATAATAATAATAATAATAATAATAATAATAATAATAATAATAATAATAATAATAATAATAATAATAATAATAATAATAATAATAATAATAATAATAATAATAATAATAATAATAATAATAATAATAATAATAATAATAATAATAATAATAATAATAATAATAATAATAATAATAATAATAATAATAATAATAATAATAATAATAATAATAATAATAATAATAATAATAATAATAATAATAATAATAATAATAATAATAATAATAATAATAATAATAATAATAATAATAATAATAATAATAATAATAATAATAATAATAATAATAATAATAATAATAATAATAATAATAATAATAATAATAATAATAATAATAATAATAATAATAATAATAATAATAATAATAATAATAATAATAATAATAATAATAATAATAATAATAATAATAATAATAATAATAATAATAATAATAATAATAATAATAATAATAATAATAATAATAATAATAATAATAATAATAATAATAATAATAATAATAATAATAATAATAATAATAATAATAATAATAATAATAATAATAATAATAATAATAATAATAATAATAATAATAATAATAATAATAATAATAATAATAATAATAATAATAATAATAATAATAATAATAATAATAATAATAATAATAATAATAATAATAATAATAATAATAATAATAATAATAATAATAATAATAATAATAATAATAATAATAATAATAATAATAATAATAATAATAATAATAATAATAATAATAATAATAATAATAATAATAATAATAATAATAATAATAATAATAATAATAATAATAATAATAATAATAATAATAATAATAATAATAATAATAATAATAATAATAATAATAATAATAATAATAATAATAATAATAATAATAATAATAATAATAATAATAATAATAATAATAATAATAATAATAATAATAATAATAATAATAATAATAATAATAATAATAATAATAATAATAATAATAATAATAATAATAATAATAATAATAATAATAATAATAATAATAATAATAATAATAATAATAATAATAATAATAATAATAATAATAATAATAATAATAATAATAATAATAATAATAATAATAATAATAATAATAATAATAATAATAATAATAATAATAATAATAATAATAATAATAATAATAATAATAATAATAATAATAATAATAATAATAATAATAATAATAATAATAATAATAATAATAATAATAATAATAATAATAATAATAATAATAATAATAATAATAATAATAATAATAATAATAATAATAATAATAATAATAATAATAATAATAATAATAATAATAATAATAATAATAATAATAATAATAATAATAATAATAATAATAATAATAATAATAATAATAATAATAATAATAATAATAATAATAATAATAATAATAATAATAATAATAATAATAATAATAATAATAATAATAATAATAATAATAATAATAATAATAATAATAATAATAATAATAATAATAATAATAATAATAATAATAATAATAATAATAATAATAATAATAATAATAATAATAATAATAATAATAATAATAATAATAATAATAATAATAATAATAATAATAATAATAATAATAATAATAATAATAATAATAATAATAATAATAATAATAATAATAATAATAATAATAATAATAATAATAATAATAATAATAATAATAATAATAATAATAATAATAATAATAATAATAATAATAATAATAATAATAATAATAATAATAATAATAATAATAATAATAATAATAATAATAATAATAATAATAATAATAATAATAATAATAATAATAATAATAATAATAATAATAATAATAATAATAATAATAATAATAATAATAATAATAATAATAATAATAATAATAATAATAATAATAATAATAATAATAATAATAATAATAATAATAATAATAATAATAATAATAATAATAATAATAATAATAATAATAATAATAATAATAATAATAATAATAATAATAATAATAATAATAATAATAATAATAATAATAATAATAATAATAATAATAATAATAATAATAATAATAATAATAATAATAATAATAATAATAATAATAATAATAATAATAATAATAATAATAATAATAATAATAATAATAATAATAATAATAATAATAATAATAATAATAATAATAATAATAATAATAATAATAATAATAATAATAATAATAATAATAATAATAATAATAATAATAATAATAATAATAATAATAATAATAATAATAATAATAATAATAATAATAATAATAATAATAATAATAATAATAATAATAATAATAATAATAATAATAATAATAATAATAATAATAATAATAATAATAATAATAATAATAATAATAATAATAATAATAATAATAATAATAATAATAATAATAATAATAATAATAATAATAATAATAATAATAATAATAATAATAATAATAATAATAATAATAATAATAATAATAATAATAATAATAATAATAATAATAATAATAATAATAATAATAATAATAATAATAATAATAATAATAATAATAATAATAATAATAATAATAATAATAATAATAATAATAATAATAATAATAATAATAATAATAATAATAATAATAATAATAATAATAATAATAATAATAATAATAATAATAATAATAATAATAATAATAATAATAATAATAATAATAATAATAATAATAATAATAATAATAATAATAATAATAATAATAATAATAATAATAATAATAATAATAATAATAATAATAATAATAATAATAATAATAATAATAATAATAATAATAATAATAATAATAATAATAATAATAATAATAATAATAATAATAATAATAATAATAATAATAATAATAATAATAATAATAATAATAATAATAATAATAATAATAATAATAATAATAATAATAATAATAATAATAATAATAATAATAATAATAATAATAATAATAATAATAATAATAATAATAATAATAATAATAATAATAATAATAATAATAATAATAATAATAATAATAATAATAATAATAATAATAATAATAATAATAATAATAATAATAATAATAATAATAATAATAATAATAATAATAATAATAATAATAATAATAATAATAATAATAATAATAATAATAATAATAATAATAATAATAATAATAATAATAATAATAATAATAATAATAATAATAATAATAATAATAATAATAATAATAATAATAATAATAATAATAATAATAATAATAATAATAATAATAATAATAATAATAATAATAATAATAATAATAATAATAATAATAATAATAATAATAATAATAATAATAATAATAATAATAATAATAATAATAATAATAATAATAATAATAATAATAATAATAATAATAATAATAATAATATTTATTAATCTAAAAGTTTACATCAACATACAATAATTATTGATACATATAATAATTAATAAATATATGAAACCCACAGAAGGTCAAGCCTGTGTATGGGTACAAACAAATTTTATTAAAATGACAAATATAAAAAAAAAGTGTAATACTATATACATATATATATTACTTATAACTATAATATTTATAAAGTGCATAATATTAGACACAAACTATGGTGAATTTCCAACAAGAGTATTAATTAAATGAATTAAAATAAAGAATATCTACCAAAATAAGGCAGTTGTAATAAATAAAGAAATGTTAACTACTAATATGTTTTAAGTTCCTATGTAAGTGTGAATTTGATGTCTTGGAATGGTTTTAATCCAGGCTTTTAATTTTTTTTTAAATAAGTTTTTAGAATTTATATTTTTGAGTTCGTTTGGGATTAAATACATTGATATACATTGATATACATTGATATACATTGATATACATTGATATACATTGATATACATTGATATACATTGATATACATTGATATACATTGATATACATTGATATACATTGATATACATTGATATACATTGATATACATTGATATACATTGATATACATTGATATACATTGATATACATTGATATACATTGATATACATTGATATACATTGATATACATTGATATACATTGATATACATTGATATACATTGATATACATTGATATACATTGATATACATTGATATACATTGATATACATTGATATACGTTGATATACATTGATATACATTGATATAAATTTATATAGATTGATATAAATTTGTGGTAATAAAGGACCACAATGTGATTCTTGAGGAACAGTAGAATTGGCCACAAATGTTTAACTTTACACATTCTTGCAAAGTAATTGCCTATTGTGATAATTGACATTGATAATTCTATTTTGACATCTCTAATTATTTGTGCTTATTATAAATGACAACTCGTGTGGATTTTTTTTTTATTTATTCCATTTTCTTTGTCTACAGATCCAACTTTGGACAGTGGACAAAGGATAGCAGTATTGCAACAAAAATTGTCCGAACTGAGAAAGACTTACGCCGATGTCAAAGCGGAATTGGCGGCCGTCGAAAGGAGAAGAAAGAAGATTAGAAGGAGGGAGAGAGAAGGTTGGTTTTCATTTATATTTCGTCAAAGTTGAGGAATAGTTTTCAGGTCTGTTTTTGAATGTTTTCACTATAGAAGAAGAAATAAAGTCGCATAGTGTTGAATCTGGCGAATACGGAGGATTTAAGATTCGTTTTTTTCGTTTGGATTGGGGTTCTTATTTCACTATGTCAAATTTGTGATGAAAAAATGTATGGTGGGAAATAAGAAAATTATGTAAATTTCTTTTATTTAAATGAATTCTTTTTTTTAGCTCTGAAAGCAGCCAAACAGGAAATGGCCTGTACATGATCCAGAACTCCCGGTTCTCGTAAAGTAATTTTATGACCAAAAAAGACCAATAATAGTTGGTCACGGTTTTTTGTATAGACATTAGTTTTTTTGCGGTAGGAGAAACATATTTTATTGTTAGGTTTTAAAAACAAACAGATGAATATATTAGTCTGAGAGCCGACTGCAATAAATCGAAAGGTCATTATTTTAGGCAACCATAGTTTACTCAAAATAACAAATTGCGCTGCTAAATTTTTTAGTGAATGCAAACAAAGGCAACCCTAGGTATTGTTAAAGAGGGTGTTGTCAGCTTTAAGAATATCTAAGGTTGCCTTTTTGCATTCCCTCAATAAACGTAGCGTCCTAGTTATTTTGACTCTTGCGGATTTTTGCGGCCCATTCTTAGTCTGTATCGATTTTAAAGCGATTTATATTTTCCAAAGTATTTGTTAAGGCTGATAAAGTATACAGGAGATATTTTGTTGCATACTATTTATAAATAGTAGGTTTGTTTTTTGTACAGTGTATACTACAAGAAAACGTGAAAGTGTTGTTTGTCAATTATTGTGTATAAAATTGATCGTTGACTGGACAAATGCAGTTTATTTTCTATGTTTGTTCCGTAATTATGTATGTATAGATATTGCATGAACTTTTTAGAGGCTGATAATGGCCATACTCAGAAATACAGTTATTTTTTCATCGCCCACCTTGATTTTTAAATTTTTCTTTAGTTCGTTTTCACGTTGGAGATGAATTAGTTTCTTTAGATTTCGAATCTCTAATCAATATTCTCTCCTTTCTTGTCTTGTTTGTTCTTGACAAAAAGGACATTTTGGCAAATTTTTTGAATGTTTGTAGCAGTCTAGAGAGAAGTAGTTTTTAATTTGAAAACCAAAAAAAGTTGTATTTTTACTATCCTGTATGTATACAAATAAGGAAAGTATAGTAATCATGATTTTTTCGATCCGACTTTTTGACGGATTTTTACGTTTTGGGATCCCCTGAATCCATTTTGACTATTTTCGCGATGGTATCTGTGTGTGTGTGTCTGTATACTCGTTAACTCATGAACGGATATAGATAGAAACACAACATTTTAAACTTAAGCATTAATCCATCCTGCGGTGAGCTGATTAGATTTTGGGCATAGTTGGAACATCTGGGGGGTATTTTATAGGGGGTAGTTTTTCTATTTTGTAGAATATATGTTATTTACGCTTGGAGAAAAAAATTCTTCAAATAAAAGATGCCTGCAATATTATTCTTTATAATTTTGTACAAAACATAATTTTTCTAAAATAGACTGTATTCGAGATATTTGAGAAGTGGAAATTTCGAAATTCAATTCCATCCTGCGGTAAACTGATTAAATTTTGGGTATAGTCGGAACATCTGGGGATACTTTATAGGGGGTAGTTCTTCTACTTTATGGAATATATCTGTAATTTACGCTTGTAGAAGAAAATTCTTCAAATAAAAATTGCTTGTAATGTTATAATGTTATTTACCAATACAAAATTTTCCTAAAATGGTCCGTATTCGAGAAATTTGACAAAAAGTGTAAAATTCGAATTTTTAAGAAATTTTTTCCGATATCGTTCTCTATAATTTTTGTTCCATACAAGATTTCTCTAAAATGAATCGTATTCGAGATATTTGAGAAAGTGCAAATTTCGAATATTTAAGATAACTCAAAAAAGCACAAAGTGAAAAACACCAACTTTTAAACTTAAGCTTTAATCCACGTTGCAGTAAAATGATTAAATTTTGGGCATAGTCGGAACATCTGGGGGGTACTTTATAAGGGGTCGTTTTTCTACTTTGTAAAATATAATTTTATTTACGCTTGTAGAAGAAAATTCTTCAAATAAAAGTTGCTTGTAATGTTATTCTCTATAATTTTTGTCCCATACAAAATTTTCCTAAAATAGTCCGTATTCGAGAAATTTGACAAAAAGTCCAAAATTCGAATTTTTAAGAAAATTTTTCAAATAAAAGTTGCTTGCGATATCATTCTCTATATTTTTTATTCCATACATGATTTCTCTAAAAATATAAACATTTTAGGAAAAGTAAAATTTTTCTTTTTCGGTATTTTCGTGGGCAATGAATTTATATAAAAAAATGTTTCGAGTAAAATCTGTGTGTAAAATGTATGTATTTAGTTCATCCTTTAAACATTTACAGGGGTGGTACAATAGGTTGTGCAAAATAAACGAAAAAAGCCTGTAAAATAACTAGATAGGAAAGTCATGTGTTGGACACATCAGGTTTTTAGATGTTTAATAAAAAAAAATATAAAAATTACCAAAAAAAACTTTTTGGCAATCAATTTTGTCCTATGAACACGTTCCACTAATTACTGGATCAATTGGTACAATAGGTTGTGCAAAATAAACGAAAAAAGCCTGTAAAATAACTAGATAGGAAAGTCATGTGTTGGACACATCGGGTTTTTAGATGTTTGACAAAAAAAAATACCAAAAAAAACTTTTTGGTAATCAATTTTGTCCTTTGAACACTTTCCACTAATTACTGGATCAACTGTAATGGTTCTATAAGATATGTCATTAAAATATTAACACTCTCAAGTCATGTGTTGGACACATCAGGTGTTTAAATGTTTGGTTCAAAAAAAAAATTTAAAAATCCAAAAAAAAAAACCTATTTGGTAATCTTTTTTGTCCCTACACGTTCCACTAATTACTGGATTAACTGTAATGGTTCTAAAAGATATGTCATTAAAATATTAACACTCTCAAGTCATGTGTTGGACATATCAGGTTTTTAGATGATTTGATACAAAAAAAAAAAATATAAAAATTACAAAAAATCTATTTGGTATTCTTTTTTGTCCCATGGGCACGTTCCTCTAATTCTGGATCAACTGTAATGGTTCTAAAAGATATGTCATTAAAATATTAAAAAATTGTGAAAAAGACAATGAAATCAACCAAAGCGTTTTTTAGATATTAATAAAAAAAATACTTTTCTGTAAAAATATTGAGTACGGTCCATCCAATAAAAAATTGTTTTGAGGGCGAAATAAAGATAAAAATGTTCCGGTCACATTTATTCGAAATATTTTTTCATAACTTAATTACCAATGAAAATAATGAAAAAATTTAAATTTTGCACGTTTTCTTAAATTTCTCCATTGCGGTCCATTTTAGAAAAATAACATAAATGATAAAAATTATAGAGAATGACATCACTAACAACTTTTAGTTGAAGAATGTTCTTCTCCAATCATAAATAACAGAAATATGAAAGAAAAATGAAGTAAAAAAAATTACCCCCTATAAAGTACCCACCAAATGTTCCACAAAATCTTTATCCCTGTATCCCTGCAGAGTATTTTTATAATTACCTATTATTACAATATTTTACCAACATTTTTAGAAAACATTTAAATTTTTTAAACGTTTGTTTTTTATACCCATCAAAAGTTGATAATTAATAAGTTTGATCCGATACAAGAACATATCGATGTGAAGTACAGTATGTTTCAAAATGTGGCTACAGGGATTTACATGGTAAATCTTACACAATTTCAAACTTAACATTTAATATTTTAATATGAATACGAGTCTAAAAAATACAAATTTTAATACGAAGAAAAACAATTTCAATTTAAAATTTGTTGTCTTCGCATGTTTTTAAGTTACCGTGGATACAGACACAGACATCATCACGAAAATGTTTAAAACGGATTCAGAGTATTCCAAAACGTATATATCCGTCGAAAACTCAAGGTCGAAAAAAATTATGATTCCTAGATTTTTCTGACTTGTTTCTGGAAAGTAAAAACTAATTTTTAAAAGAGATTTGTAGAAATTTTCTTCCAATAATAATGAGTCACCCTGTATATAAGAACTGGTAGTTTTAGAAACGTTTTCCTTTAATAAAAACTACTAGTAGTTGAATAGTTAAATATTTCCTGTATATTTAAAAATGTTTGATAACTGATGTCTCAAAAATTTCATTATTTTTCTTAAAACTTTTGAAATTACAACCAATGTCTTTCTTAACAGCATAACAGAAAGTAACCTCATTGTTATCTCTCTTAAGTGATTTATCGATCGCTGGATAAGCGACGTTACCATTTATTGACAAGTTTCTAAGGAATTATCGATTCATGCGGCGTTGCCAGATCTGCTCTATAAATTTCCCCAGACCTAGGGAAAAATCGATGAAAGTGTACCAAAGTGGCTTGCTATCTACTACTAATTTTTAAGAGTTATCTTCGGTTTGTTTAGTTGAAAACGACAAAAATTTACATTAACATGAATCAACGGTAAATAAAGTTGCTACTGAACTCTACCTGTTGAGCTCCTTATATTTATTTTCAAATGTATAGTGTTTCTATTGAACGCTCGAGCTGCGCCGTGACAGGACATTACCAGAGCTGGGTAATTACATGTACTTTAAAAATAATTACAATTACAAAGCACTTTTTCCAAAGAGGAATTAATAAGTACAAAGTACATGTTGATAAAAATAGGAATTGTTCAATCTTGAAAATGGTGATAACGCTGTACCTATGTCTCTTATCAACGTAACAGGCAGTAAACCTCGTTGTTTCCTGTCGATTGCTTGAGAAGCGGCGTTGCCATTTGACAAGTTTCTGAATAATTATCTGTCGTACATTGATTTGTGCGGTGTGGTACAGATCTACTCTATAAATTTCTCCAGATCTCGGGAAAAATCGATAAAAGTGGCTTACTATCTAGTCATTAAGAACGTTTGTACTTTTTAGTCTTAAAGGATCCTTTAGCAAATCAACGATGCAGCAATTCTAACTAACAAATTTGCCCCAATTTTCAATAACATTCTAAACACTACTGAAAAGGTCAGGTAACGAACTTTGTTATTTATTTATTTATTTTTTTTTTTTTTTTCAAATATCGATCAATCTTGACCATTCTGACAGAACATTCTTTGACTTTGACATTATCTGTATAAAGGTAGAGGCAACATTTTGACTTGCCTTTGAGGTAAGATTGAGATGCAACTACATTCTAAAATATTCGCTGTTTTTAAAATTCTGTACGCAAGGTCGGCCTGCACAATTTTACTTGTTTATTTATTTACGGTAAGAAAATGGATTTTCATGTTTTAACAAAAAGAGTAAAGTTTTAAATTGAAAATGAAATGAAGGGATGTCAGTTATTTAAAAACAATAAATGTATGTATTTAATAATTTTATCAATTTTACGTTTGTACAGGTGCAACATGTTTGAATTATACTTAAGACGAAAATATTGTGATTTGTATATATTTATATATTGTCATTTTATATTATTTTGTTACGATTTTACATCGAATGAGAACGTTGATGAGATCTATCGACAACGTTCTTGTTTGACAGTGTTTATTTTTTTGTTTTGTTAAAATTTATCATCCTATTTAGATATAATAATAATAATAATAATTGAATGTTGTACTATACTACTAAG